CTCAGGCTTTTTTATAGGGCTTTTGGTCAGATAAACTGTGAGCCTTAGAGCAGTGTTTGTGGAGTTTAAAGTTTGGTTATTGAATTTTGTTTTAAAGAGCATGTTATGTAAGAACGGTTTTTAGTAAATAACACTTTCAAAGTAAACACCACAAGTCCTTTACAAGAAGTACGGTTCCAAGAAAAACTGACAGTTTTATAAACACCGTTAGCTTTAAATACAAACTGATTTGTGTGGTGATGTTCCATTTACACAGCAAGTCACAGAAATCATGAATGACTGCAATCGCTGCTGCATAAACCTGCATTCCTGTTGCTGCTGCTTCTTGGACCGTCTCGGACCTGAGTGATCTGCTGATGTGTCTTTGACTGCAGTAGTAGAAATGAGTGCAGGACAGCAGCTGTGGGTAATGAGGCTAGTCCAGTGCTACAGTATATCCTGGAGTTAGTCCTCTACTTGGAGCATCATTTTACATTTGCTGTTTTCGTGTGCTGACAAGCAGTAGAAGTTAACGTTCTGAAATATTCATTAGACTCAAGTAAGACAATCGCGGTGAAAATGGTAGTGGCAACGGAGGATACCTTCCCCTTCCAGTTATGTGCTACTGCCTCTTTCCAGAAATGACAGCTCTCACGTGGTCTTTGCTAGAAGAGCAGATCATGTGAATGCTCCAAAGCTGCTTCAGTGCAAAGTCAGATGAGTTGGCTCAGACCTCCTTCAGCAGTGCGTTACTGTAGCTGATGCTGCCTGATGCAGGTGGAGTTCTGGTGTTACCTGTGTTGCTAGCTGAGCTGTGGGAATGCTACCCCCGTCAGAAAGGCGGTAACCAGCAGCCTAATGTTGCTGGTGAAAGCTGCAATACGTTAAGGCACTGTTTCTGTGGTGACCATCTTCTCGGTAGCTGCGGTGTAAGGTCTGCAGCTATCAATAATGCTGTAGGAATTTATTTATCTGGTGCTGTTTCATGGAGAAGGAAGGTTGAATATGCACAGAGCTGAAGAATAACAGTGAAGCAGAGCTGGAAACCTTGTTTTATAGCTGTCTTTTTAGGCTAGCTGTGTGAAAATCCCTGATTTAGCTGGTTGGGTGAGGTTGCTCTAGAACCAAGCAGTTGATGGGACACTTTTCTAAGTGTCTGCTTTAAGTTGCATGTTGTTGCACAGCCAGTGTCAGGGCCAAATATTGAAAATTCTAACTAATCCTCTATTTTTTAGGTGCAGGTATTTTTAAAGTATTTATGTAGACTTCCACCTCTTCCAAGGGCTTTTATCATTCCTACATCTCATTTTTCTGGCTGGTAAAACAGATGATACTTCTGTTAGATGGATGTCGGAAGGAAGGGGAATACATACGTAATATTGAGAACAAATAATGTGCAATATTCTCTAAAATCAAATAGCTGTTTTCAGGGCTCCAGGACAAAAAGGATTTTAAGCTATATGTTTTGTGAAATCAAGATATGCTGCTTTGTGTAGTCCACTTCTGCCCTCTAATCAAGAACAAAACAGGCAGACCTGACTGTGACACACTCACGGTACCCATCTGAAGACCCAGCAAAATTCACTGCAGCAGACTTGCCAGCAAATATTCATTTAAACTCAGCTAAATCAGTGTGAAAATTTGGATGATTATTTTGCATTCATCTAACCCCTTCCTGTTTTTCATGCAGCAGAGCAATGTGAATAATCAAAGCTAAAATGAGGAGAAAATATTCCCATTAATTTGAGTGGGCCTGGAAGTTTGTGCTTGCCCTACTGGTTTCTGACTGCTTCAAAAAAAATACCCTTAAGCGCTGATAGTGGTTTAAGAGTCATGGTGTGGTTTGTAGACCTGCTTTATTATTTTTAAGGACAAAAATGTACAGTAAACTCAAGCAGTAGCCCAGTCCCTTGTGTGTTTGTCCCTTTCCAGCCTTCCCCTGGTTGAGCCTGTGCTGGCTTTTTGTTCTGATCAGAAAAGCAGTTCTGAAGCGACCCTCCTGATCATCTGAGCTCATTGCACTTTGATTCATGTCAAAAAGCAGTCTCAGAGCTTGCAAACTGACCTCCTTGTCCATGAAACTTAACCGGAGAACATAGCACAGCCACGGGTGGTATCCACTCCCCGACACCAGACTAGAGTTAATCTGAAGTAAATCATGGATGGTGAGGATGTCAGACCCTCAACACAACCGCGCTGCTCTACAGACCTGCCCGCAGTTTGCCGCAGTACTTGTGCTGTGGAAGCAGCTGTGCTGTGTTGATGCCCACTGGGCTCTTGCCCAGGTGTTGGACTCTCCTGGTGAGTTTTAATGAGTCAGGTTGTTCTTTGCTGCCGGCTTGGTTGTGATCAGATTCACTGACTGCCCTCAGCATTGAATAAAAATGCAACAGGAAGTAGTGGAGTGAGCTGGAAAGCTCCAAGCAGGGTGCGGTCATAGGGGAATCAGTTTTATGTGGTACTCTCAATAGGAGAAACAATTAACAAACTCTACCCTGGAAGCGTTCAAAAAACGGGTGGATGTGGCACTTTGGGACATGGTTTAGTCTAGTCTACCCTTGATTGGTTTAGTGTGGACTTGGTAGTGTAGGTTAATGGTTGGACTGGATGATCTTAAAGGTCTTTTCCAACCTAAACAATTCTATGATTCTATGAAAAGTGTGTGGCAGAAAGGTCATTTCACTTCTGTCTGTGTGTTTTCTTCAGTGTGGTCTGAGCTTTTGATGTGATTGGGCATTAGAGTCATTACAGAAAGTCATTAAATTTGGCAAAGATGTGTTAGAGACTTCAGGAAATTACTCTGAAACCTAGAGTTAGTGCAATTAATGTGAAGAGAGTTTCAGAAAATGTGAACTATCAGCAATTAGAAAAACATGAATAGGGATGGATTATTGTTCTGTGAAGGCTTCGTTGCTCTTTGAAGCAGTTGGTATTAGATGCGTCACGGACCTCTTCCACTCTGGCTGCTCGTACCTTCCTCAGTAGCTAGAAACCTCCATGGAGGTGTACTCGATAGCGTGAG